CCTGGCATTCTATTCTCCTCTTCCAATCTTGAAAAACTCACTGTCTTAAAAGATTTGACTAATACTGCAATTAAGTATATTCCTGAAGCTAGTGTTGCAGGACTAAACCTTTCACACTCTTTTTCAGTAAAAAAATTATTATTTGTATATTTTACAAATATCTAAGTAATAATTTGCTAAAAACTGATTTCATCTTCGTACTCTTAAAACATTCATCTCCCTTGGCTTCTGCAATATGATACTTTCAGATTTTTCTTCTCTGGCCATTTCTTCTTAGACTCTACTGCCAGTTCATCCTCCCATACCCAGATTCTAAATGTTAGTGTTCTAAAGGGTAAGCCTATTTTCTTCATTTCTAATACTATGGTCTCTCCCTTGATGGAGTGTGTGCTTCATCATGGCTAAAGCTGTAAAAACTTATTCATCAGCTTATTAAAGCTTATTAATCCATAAATAAGTAAGTGGCTTACATATTATCTCTGATGCAGACCTCACCTCTGAGTTCTACATCACTATAGCTAACTGCCTACTGATATCACCGTGTGATGACAAGCAGGTTAACCTCAATAGACCCAAAACTCGGTTCATGATCTTTCTGAATTCATGATCCAAAACTGGATTCATAATCTGTGACCAACCAAACCTAGTCTTCCTCCAGTATTTTGTTGTTGCCAGTGCATCAACAGTACCACCATCCATCTAAGTTGCATAAGGCAGAACTCTACAAGTCGAGAAGTTATCCTTCATAGCCAACCTCTTCCTCTCCCTTCAAATCTAATCTATTCTAACTTCCATTATATGGATCTTGTTGCATGAATTTCAATATTTTTTTTTATTCTAATACCAAAATAACCCCCCTTGCAGGTTTCACTCCCCAGCAGTCCATGTTATTTCTATGTACCAAGGCCTCTATCAAATGAAATTCCAGACTTCCCCACCTTTCCTGTTTATCCCTCAATAAACATCTCAACAATCTAATCTCTTTTTCCTTCTAAATATTCTATGTACTCCAGCCATAAAACTCTACTTTACAATATCTGCATATGACTTATTCTTTCCCATCCCTTTTCATTGACCGAGCTGTCTTTTTTTCTCTCAAAATTCCTCTTGGAATCCTTCACTCACTAATTCAATCCAATGTCACTCCTTACTGGGGAAAAATAAAGTTACAGACTCAGGGCCATACTTTATTCAGCCCAATAACTGATCTTTGACAGTGACACTAACAAAACATGTTACAGTTTCCCTCCCAGACATGGTCCTTAAAATCTGTCATTACCCAAACACACTAATTATTTCCTTTAATAATACATCAAGCACTGACTCTATGACTATATATATGTTTCATGTTTTTTATGAACTTGTATATATGTTCAGCCTTTTCTATTTCATAAGGTTATGAGTTTCAAAAGTTTAACATTAACCATATAAAACTGAATTTCCTTTATTTGTCCTGAATTTTCTAAGCATCAAGGTAGTCTCATCTTAGCATTTTCTGATTTGGTGAATAAGCTCATGATTTTCTCACCCATATCATTTGTAGTTTTAAAGGAATACAAAAATAAATACAGCATGAATCATGCCCTTACATTCTGCTTAAAGAGTAGGATCCAGCTGTATTCATATATGTATTCCTAGTGTTCATAATAATTTCTCACAAAAAAGAAGGTGCTCAATAGATGTTCAACAGAATTAAAGAAATTCCGCTTAGGATTGATGTAATGTTTATGAATGTCAAAAAGAAAATAGAACTTCTCAAATATGTTAACTCTGCTTCTTTTCAAGAAAAAGTGATATTAGCCTTAAAAAAATGGGAAGAGTAGAAAGAATTGATGTCCAGTATAGGTGAGGAGACTGTAACGTAGCACTTCGGTGATCTAAGTGAAATAAAATGCATAGTGAATGTGATCTCTGAATCAAACCAGTGAAAAAAGCATGGAGACTCAGCAGGGTGCCAAAAGACTGGAAAAGAATAAATAAATGTAGGTCTGATTTTTTGTTTAATAGAAAGAACTGCCAAAAATAATCTGGTATACTTGACATCAATCTTTTTCTAAATTGATTATTAAAAAATGACTTCCAATCACTTAGAAAAGAAAGTGGTAAGCATTTGTGGAACCAATCTGAGTTATACTAATCTAATTTCCTTTCTTTTTTTAAGACTGTTTATACATAGGTCATATATCATAAAGCAGTAAAAATAGTGTGTAGGTAGGATTTCAACAAGGTATTTGAGCAGGTTCTCATTATACCCATATGAGATAGCTAACAGTACAATTATGTAGCTAGGTAATTGTCTGAACGACCATAACAAGTGCTCATTAATGAATTGCTATCCACCTGAAGGGCAGTTCTACTGGCAAGCTTCAGGACTCCCTCTGTGCTTCTCCTGTTCAACAATTTTATCCATAACTTGAATGAGAAGGTTACTATACTACTATGCTACTGTTGGCACCCAATGTGCAGTTGACATGAAACTAAGGGGCTCATGATACATATTATGAAAAGAGCCAGGATCTAGAAACACAATGATAAGCCAGAAAAAAATGGGCTCATTCTAATAAAATGAAATCTAATAAGGAAAAATTCCTAAGGGCTCAATTAATACCTGTGTCCAAACCTTTATGTATAACTGTGAAATGGGCAAGCACTGTAACTTAATTGCCATATACATAAAACAAATAAACAATGGCTTTGGTTGACCACAAGCGTATTTCAATCTGACAGCAGCAAACTCGATATGATGTGGATATTTCATAAAAGCTAATGAGATGCATGTTACAGCACTAGTATCTCAAACATGGGAGACAAGAGTTCTGTTCACCTCTGGGCTCATCAAACCTCAACTAGGATACTGCATGCCCTTCAAAGGATCTTAACCTTATTGGCACATATTCAGAACAGATCAGGAGGCTTCCAAGCCTGGACACTATTCCATAAAAGAAAAGACAGAAGGAAACAGAGATTTATAAACAGGACAAAACAATGCATTCGGAGGAAAATGATAGCTACCTTCATTTAGTCATTCAACACACATGAATTTCAAACCTATTTCAGTATAGACACTGATGGTGGCTGGGGATACAGAGAGAAGACAGTCTATGTTGGCAAGACATTTGTGTGTGCATTTAAAGAGTTGAAACAGCCGTGCTCTAAAAAAGGACTGGAGCCCTGGCCAGGTGGCTCAATTGGTTGGAGCATGATCCCATACACCAAAAGGATGTGGATTAAATTTCCCAGTTAGGGCACATACCTAGGTTGAAGGTTTGGCCCCTGGTCAGGGCATGTACGGGAGGCAACCTATCGATGTTTCTCACATCAATGTTTCTCTCTCTCTCCATCCCCACCCACCTCCTCTTCTCCCTAAAATCAATAAAAATATGTCCTCAGGTGAAGATTTTTTAAAAAATTAAAATAAGTAAGAATTTTTAAAAAGGACTGGATTGTTCTATATTATCTCATAAAGTAGAAATAAGAGCAATGGAAGGAAGTTAGAAAGTAACCAACTTCAGCTCCATATAAGGAAGCGCAGTATTCTAACAGTCAAAGTTCTCTATATGAAGGAAGAAGCTGCCTAAGAAGAATGCAAGGTTCTAACCATTAATGGTGTACTTAGAAGGGAGACTGCTGAAATGAGACAGGCACTGAACTGGACCCTCTTTAACGTTCCTTACATTCTACACTATGATTCTACACTTCCCCAGGGAAATGGACTCTCACCAGATTCACCCTACTTGTGTACTTCAGCATCACAGGCTCCCTACAGTTGCTTCTTCCAGTTTTGTACCCTGCCCCACACTAAAGTGATGCTTTATAGTTGGGAATGGATCTGAGAGCAAGAGGAATAATGAGATATAGGAAGAAACTGACTGACCTATCAGCACACAGAACACCAAAAAAATCAATACCATTCAATAAACGTAAAAAAAGAATTTATTACTATGAAATAAATGTAAGAAGTACCTGTCTTTTAAGTATAAACTCATTTAAAAATATTCTATTATGTTCAATTAATGTAAATAGGATTTGTTATCTACTGCATCTCTTGCTGGGAGCCATGTTTTTTCCTCACCAACATGGAAAAAATTTAACTTAAGACCACTTCGAGAATTTGTGTCTAAATAAGCATTTCAAAACACTTTATTATAAGGGTATGCGGAAACTAAGTTTGCAATATATTTCTAATAAGAAATGATATAGCAGGCCAAATACCACGAACTAATCAAATTGTGAAATTCGGATTAAAAGACTACTTAAGTTTAATCCTTTTTCAAAAATTCCATGCAGGATAAACACAGAGAAGAGGCCTACGCCATTTAGTCCTGGCTCTTATAAATTGGTAAGATTATTTAAGCTTCCTTTCATTGATTTTACTTTGTAATTTCAAAACAATCTCATATATTGGCTCTATGTGCTGCAGCTGGATATTTAAGGAGTTCACCCTTCCAAGCTGTTAATATTAACTTCTTGGAAACAGTTTCTCACACTTTAGCGCTTTCTCAACTGGATGCAATAAATGGGCTACAATTCGATTTCCAAAAGCTCTTTCTTTTAAATAGCTGCCCGGAAAGATAAAAGTGAGAAAGAAAAAGGGGCATATTTAACCACCAGTCTTTAGAAAAGGCTGTCCCTCGAGTTGTCATCAACTCCGACGGCTCTCGACTATTCCTCAACACACTGCTTGGTCATTTCGGTTTAAAAAGGAAAAGGAAAACTAGGTTCCAGTTTTCCTGGGACGGGGAGATCCCCTTTCGTAGAAGTGGCTAAGGCTAGGCTCCCCACGGGAATTTCATCTCGTTGCCAAGGCAGCGCCAACCCGAGCCGTCCGGCGCGAGGGCAGCTGCAGCCCTCCCGGAGACCAGGGCGGCCCCCGCCTGAAAGCAAAGCAACCCCCGGCCAAGCCCACCGCCCCCCGCGGCGTCAGTCCCAGCGGTGACCCCAGACGGCCCAGCGGGCGTCCAGGACCGCAGCGCAAGGCGGGAAGACGCGGCTCGACTTACAGTGACACCATCCTAGGTGACAGCACCAGTGCAGCTTGAAGCACTTGCCATGGCTGTGCGTGGCACAGATGGAGAGCCCGTCGCACGGCTGAAAGTCAGGTCTGCGGGCAGCACAACTCCGCGCCAGGGCCTGAGCCTCGTCCACTTTCTCGCTCTTCCAACCCCGCTCGGGCGCCGGCGCTGCCGCCGCACTCATTTCCTCTCCCTCCGCGGAGCCGAGATCGAGAGCCCGGGAGAAGCGGCGTCTGGGTGGACAGAAAGCCTAGTCAGCTGCAGGAGCCGGAGGGCGCGACGCGAGCCAGGAGTCACAACAGCGCGTGGCGGCGGCCGGAGTGCGGCCGTCCCAGGCTCGCCGAGGAGCCGCCCCGGGCTCTGCGACCGGGGGCTGGGCCTGCCGCCGCCGCCTCTCCCTCCCTCCGCCGCTGCGCGCGCCGCGCCCCACGCGCACGCGCACACACGCGCGCGCTGGCCGGCGGGGCAGACCACGCGCGTTCCTCGGCTGGCCCGGCCTCTTCACACACACCACGCTGGGGACCGCGCTCGTAGGCGTACCCTCCGGTATCAGCGAGTCCCTGCCACACACTCAGTCATTCCTCGGAGACTGCCCCCTCCCGATGAAGGGCCGTTATGAAGGGCCTTGGCGGCTTGGTTTTCACACGCACACCTCCCTTCGAGCTGGGTCATCCCGAGGACTCACACTCACACTTCACGGAGGGTTGGGCGCATCGAGGACACGCCCACCCGGGCCGCTCAGCCTCCGCCCCCCCCCACACACATGCACGCACACACACAGCCTCTCCGCACACGCGCCTCACATTTCTCTCTTACACACCTCCCAAGGTGTCCGGCCACAGAACCCCTCAGAGGCGCGCGAGCGCTTCCACTCTCGCGCGCACCCCGAGGACCTACCTCCCGCCCCGAGTGCAGGCCCTCGGGCCCAAGTAAGGGGCCAAAGCCACCAGCCCCCGCCCCCACGCGGGAAACATCAATCCCGCGCCGGCTCCCGGCACCCGCCTGCAATAACCCATCTCTTCCCGCGCCCGCCTGGCGGGACTTCTGGGGCAGCAGTCCAGGCCTTGCTGAGCGGGAAAATAACCAAGCTGGGTGCGGGAAAATAATGATGATGTGGAGTATTTCTGTGTGTTGCATGTGTGGTGCACGGGACTGGTATGTAATATGTGTTGCCTGTGTGTGTGGTTTGGTGCGTATGTATGTGGTTATGTGGTTTTACATGGAGTATGTGGTGGGTAGGTGTGTAGTTGGATAGGCTGTTCAATGTAGACTTGGTACATGTGAAGTGTGTGTAGTGTGTGTGACGCACGTACTGTTCTGTGGAGTGCGTGTAATGACGTGTACGTATACATGTGTTTGTCGCATGGATGTATATGACCAATGTGGAGTGTGAATGGTGTGTGCAGTAGACTGTATGTGGTGTGTATAGTGTGTGTATGAGTTGCATGTGTGTATTTGTGTGTACATGGTATGTGGGTGGAAATGGTTGTTATATAGAATATGTGTATGTGTGTGGTGTGTGTGGGTGTGTGGGCGTGTACCTGGCATGTCGATTGTGTGCCTGGTGTATAGGGTGGAGCTTTGTGTGTGTGGTACTTGGGGGTGTGGGCACACAAACAGGACTCATGTTTGCCTCGGGCTCTATATGTGCTTTTTTGTATGCTAACGCCTGCTCTGGCCAGCGGGTGTGACTGGCTGCAGCTTCCCCAACACAATCAGCTTGCCTTCTTCCCTTCTGGGGACAAGTTGCTCCAAATAGACTTTCCATGCCAGTCTGGACTGTAAGAGCACACCCCGGGCTGGATTCAGTGAAGAGAAAACAAACCATTTGCTCCCAGGGAGCATGGTTGGGAATTAGTGTTTCCCTGCAACAAGGCCAAGCCCAGCAAGAACACTGAAAATGAGGAGACCTCCTCTCCTTATTTGCCAAATGCTTTTGAAAGCAGAGGAAAATGCCTACAATTGCCAAGGTTCAGGGAACAACAACAAAGCTTTTTAACACAAATGCTGTATGAGAACATGTTTATGCCCAGGTTCACTTTCTCTCATTACTTTGTTCTTTCTTGCTTTGCACTAACAAGGAGACTCATCATGGTTTTGAAATTACCAAATTCATCTTTAAACACTGAAAGTCCTTGCTTCTATAAACAATCTTTCATAATTTTCCCTTTTATTTAACCTTGGCTTAAGAAGGGAAATGTAATTAGTAATTCGCATATATCTAACTCTAGGGAAGTCTTCATTAAGGCCTGGGGAAAGACTCAATTTGGTGGCAAAGGTATTTTCAAGAAAGATCTTAATCAAAATGTCAAAATATGGTTCCCCCAATAGGCTAACATCGAAACAATTATAAACATGAAACATCATCTCTTCAGCGTCAGCCCCAGGTGTCCAAAGTCTAAGGTCTCATTCCTGATTCATAAAATCTACCCATCCCTGCTGTTAACTTCACAGGCTGACCCACCTCAAAATAACTTCAGTAAAAGGAAAACTTAATCAAATAAATCCATAATACAAAAAAAAAGTCAGTCACAAAAGACCAAAGAAAGAAAAAAAAGAAGAAATCCATTATACATTATAACTGTAGCAAGCCAACTCAGAATTTTTCAAAGACGGATTCCCATCTCTCCTACCCTATTTTTCTCCTTCCCTAATCTATAAACGCACTCCAATACTGTTCATATTGTATAAGGCCTTATAACAGAATTCTTTCAGTATTTCAGTAACTAACACTTAAACAGGATCTTTCCACTGGCTTTTACTCTAGGGTGAACCATGTTATAAGATTCTACTATATATGAAACCATACCATCTCAGCTAGTGAAAAACGATCATGAAAAATAATGAAATATAGCATCTTAGCCAGTAGGCAAGGGAAACTACCCAAATACCCTATTTTATATTAGCCACATGATTTGAAGCTGAGAGGCCTTTACATTTGCTATAACATAAAACTCATTCCATCCCCTTGCCCAGGAGATGACATTATCCTGAACTGTCTGCAGTGCGGCAGGAGAAGGTAAATGTGCTATGACCTCAAACATATACACACACAGCCTTCAGGAGGGGTAGTCAGGATACAAGTTTTTAAAATTTTATTGTGGAAAATGAAACACATACAAAATTAGTCTAGTATAATGAACCCCCGTGTATTCATCACCTGGTTTCAATAAACATTAACTCATTTGGAAAATCTTGTTTCATTTATAGCTTCTTTTTGAAACAAACCCCAGATGTTATATAATTTCATCCATAAATATTTTAACATTTATCTCTAAAGAAACTTCTAAAAACCATAACCCACAATACCACTGTCACATAATAGGATATAATTTGATCATAAATATGAATTTGTCCCATAACTGCCGCCAACCTCTCCAGCTCCCCTTTAAGAATGTCATCCCTTCTGTCTGGAGTTTCGCTCTTTCCCCATCTTTCTCTCATGCCAACCTCCCCAGCTTGTGTACCCGCTTCCTCAAAGAAGCTTTCTCTGACCAATCCAGATTCTCATATACCACTTACAATGTTAAATGAATCATTAAAGAAAGAATTATTGAGCTAATGTCTTTCTCCATCTCCCTTCCCCTTCCACAAACTATAAGCTCTTGGAGGACAGGAACCTAGACTCTGTCTTACTCATCACCTGTTCCCAGTACTTAACACAGAGAATATAAATAATTGCTAAAGTAGTGAAAATTATTCCATCTCAGACTTTCAAAGGCTGGGAAAAGGTTAATCTGTTTGCAAATACAGGTGAATAATTTCTATAATTACCCTTCCTGTGACCACATCCTTAGATATTCCCCTCCCACATTGACTCTGAGTTAGCAGTGGGTCAGAAACTGAGGCATGACTCAGCTAATTCCTCTGCTTCAAAGTCTCCCACAAGGCTGCAATGAAGGGATGGGCCAAGGCTACATTCCCACCTAAAGTTTCAGCTGGGGAAGGGTCTGCTTCCAAGCTCCCACACCGATGGGTTGCTGGTAGATTCAGCCCGCAAAGAACTGTTAGCCTGAGGGTCTCCCTTCCTCACTGGGTGTCGGCTGGAGGATGCCTTCCGTTCCCTTTCACATGGACCTCTCCATATGCAATTCACACGTAGCAGCTCACTTTACCAGAGCAAGCACATGAAAAGAGTCAGAGAGAGTATATACTCTTTTATAACCTAATATCAGAAGTGATGTCCCATCATCTTTGGCATATTCTATTCATTAGAAACAAGTCACCAGGTCCAGTTCTCACACAACAGGAGGTGATTACACAAGGGCATGAACATCAGGAGGCAGGAACCATTGGGAGCCATTTCTGAAGCTACCTACCACATCATGTAATTTGCTTTACCCGATGGGAGAATAGCAAACATGGCGTAGTAAAGACTTCCAAAGAGTATGCTCATTGGGGTTTGCCCTCCCTTTCTATGCTTGGAACCCGGAGACCACCAGGTGTACAAGCCTGAGCAGGCCTGCTGGAGGATGAAATGGAAGAATCTAGCCTTGTGGAAGAGAATAGAAGCATCCCAGCTGATGAGCAGCCAATCCCCAGACAATGGTCTATCAACCACTAGGACTAAGACTGAAGCTATATTTGGCCTTCCTAGACCCACCAGCTGACCACAGAAGCATGAGAGAGATCTGCTGACCAGAACAACCACCAGGACAAACTATAGAATCACAAGCTACACAAAATGATTATTGTATTAAGCTACTAAGTTTTGGGTGGTTTCTTACATGGTAAAAACTAACTGATACACCTACCAATCCTCTCATGTTATAGACAAAGTTAATGAGGATTCAAGAGGCTAAATGACTTGCTCAATGTCACAGTGCAGCAGGCATAGCAGGAAAAGTTCTCTAGGACCTGGCAGCAGAACAATACAGATGGTTCACGTTTAAGCTCTGCTGCTTTCTGGCTAGGAGATCTTGGCAACATCTTTATGACTTCTGGGCTTCTACTTTTTTACCAGTAAAACAAAACAGAAGGTTTTCCAGAACATCTTTTAGCACTCAAAGTTATTTCTTGTCTACTGGGTCATAGATAGAGCTAAGGTTAGGATCCTTCTGGTTCAGGTGTCATTTGTGAATAGTCAGCTATCCCCTTCCTATTCCATTGCACACATTTGTCTAATGCTAATGTAAGTTATGTCTATGCACATCAACCGTTCTGAACACTTTGATAAATTGAGTCATTACAAATCAGTTACTTTTTGGTTGCTTGATTGAACCAAGCAACTAATTCCACTATAGTTATAAATAACATGCTAGTAATTGGTCAATTTGTCATATTAAAGCAATTAGAATGATGAAGTGGATGGAGAAGCTTCCAAATGAGGTGCAACTAAATTAGGAGTCTTCTGTGTGGAGGGAAAATGTCTCCATAGCATTGCCACTGCATAACAGACCCTTATTGTGTCTTTTGGTGGACAGGAAAGACCAGAAGCTTTAAAATCAGAATAGAATAAAAGCTCAGCTCTACTACCAATTAGTGGGGTGATATTGGGCAAGTTATTTAACCCCATCTCATAAACGACAATTATAATTTCTACTCTACACAGTGAACACTAAATATAATAACATGTGAAGAGCTTAGCCCTGTATCTGGCACATTGCAGATCCTTAATAAATATT